GTGCTTGCCATGGGGCTTCCTTGCCTTACTGTGTATTAGAGTCTAGTGCTTGTTAGTGGCTGCTTTTTGCTTCTGCTGCTTGCTGTAGTGCTGATCATCTTACTCTGCTGGGCCTGGGAGCATTTTGATACCAGCAATGGCGATGTGCCCGGGCTGGCAGATGCCCACGGCATCGCTGCCGTTTCTGTGCTGCTGTACTGGACAGGCTGGAACTCCAGGGTGAACTTGAGTCGAAGGGACTGCGACCTGTGGATGAGTTCATGTGGGAGCAGGACACCCTGAAGAATCTGTGGCCATCATGGATAAGCCCATGCCAGAGCAGGTACATCTCGAAGCATCTGTGGCTGTGGTTATGTCTGTACCACAGCAGGTATACCTCTGAAGGGATTGTGGCCCAAGGATAAGTTCACGCTGGAGCAGGTACATCTCGAAGCATCTGGGGCTGTGCATGAGGTCATGCTGGAGCAGCTCAAAGCGTGTGGCCACGGATCAGCCCACAACAGAGCAGGTGCACTCCCAGAGGGACTGCAGCCATGGGTAAGGCCACGTTGGAGCAGGTTCACTCCTGAAGGTATGGTGGCTGTGGGTAAAGCCACGCTGGAGCAGGTACATCTCTGAAGACATTGTGGCCCATGGATAAGGCCATGCTGGAACAGGTGCACCTCAAAGCAACTGTGGCCATGGATACGTCTATGCCGCAGCAGGAACCCCTTGTTGCTAGCCAGGCTAGGAGCAAGGTGGGGAGTTCATTGCAATGTTAAATCCTACACCCTGGCCCAAAGGGTGGAGATTGTAATGGAAATACCTTTAAATTGTTGTAACCCATGATTTGAGTTGCATGTTATAGGAATTACTACAGCAGGAACCACGTGAACCAATGGAGGAGAAGTCTTACAAGAAGCAGTGCAAGTGTAGCGGTGACCTGACTTGAGCTGGCTTTGGTGCCCAGTAACTACAGGCAATACACCACAGCTCCTGTCCTGAGTGACCACCGTAACAGATGGAGCCCAAACTCATGGACTAAATGAACTCAGTGGACATTTTGTGGACATTTTACAGGGGTGGTCCATAGACGAGGGGAACGGTATCTGTGTATTGTATCAAAGGATGGGAAGGGAGGTGGTGGGTAATGAGAATGTATTGGATAGTGTGGGACCTGAGCACGACATAAATGGTTTGGAATAAGGGCTGGAGAACGTGCTGGTTTTGGCTGGGA